GCTATGCTATAAATTAACTAAATATAGATATATATTCCAATAAAAATATACTTAAATATAATAAAATAATAAAAATATAAAAACTATAAAAATAATAATAAGAAATAAAATAAATCACAGACGTTAAGATAAATGAAAACGAACCCGATGACAACGTCTAAAGAATTTTTTTCACTCTATTGTTAGAGGGGAAACGGTCATTAGCATAATCTCCAAAATTACAGTGTTAATAATAAACGTTATTGCAATAATTTGTTAAAGCACTTAAGAAAAGACGAAATTTTACTTTTACTGGTTAAGGCGAGGTCAACCAGTTACTTGAGATTTATCAGCACATCACGTTATTATCTTATGTGACTGGAACGTACTCTAATTCTTAGTTTAAGGACACTGAGGGAAGGCGAAGTTCTCTATCACTAGCCAAGATGAAGTCAGCCAGCTACTTGGAGGTTATCAGTATGTCACGTTATTGCCTCATTGGCCAGAACATATTCTAGTCATTGAATACACGAAGCTAACTCAATCTAGATCATTACATATACTTAACTTCGAAAGTATTTAAGCAATTACTTGTATAATCATTGGGTAATTTCTCTAATGAACTTTTGTAGAGTCTATGTTTCCGCAATTTGTCGTGAGAAAAGTCATTCCGTATTTATCTGTATTGCAAAAAAACTTAATAACGATCACTTTGAATTACTTTTGAAGAACTCGTTTATTTCATGTTCTTCTAAAGATTAACTTGACATTTTTGATGTAGACATGTTAGAGCATTTACTAGGTTTGTAAAAAAAATAGTAACTACACGTAATAAATATACTTTTTATGTTATAGGAGGACTTTCACATGATTGGCCAATTATATTACACGAATTTTGTAGTTGATATTATAAATATTTATACATATCACGTGATATACTACGCGATTATATAATTTAACTATTGTATTTAAACTATTTAGCATTTTTATGTATAGTCTTAGTTTTTGTAAAAAAAAAATATATAAAATTTGTTATTTTTATTGTAATTAAAATGCTTCTCTAAATAAAATTATCTTTTTAAATAATCTATTACTGTTGAAATTTACGCAATTCCTCTTTTAATGCACACGTTACATATTCTATAGGTTCACTTTCATCATTGTCATCACATGAGATATTATTTTTCAGATCTTCAACTTCAGCTTGCTGTTCTTAGAAACGATGCAAGCATTCTAAAAAAGATCGAACATGTTTATCAATACTGACTTGTAAGAATGAGAAGCAATGCATGCACTTGAATCCATTATCAGTATAGCAATATTTGTGATAAATGTGACTGCAAGCTAAATCTTTAATAGGATCTGTATTAATTAATAAAGAATTAGAACAGTTAGATGCATCGCAATATTATAATAGATCTGATCTATGTAAAGTATTAAATTCTAAAGGAAGATGGCATAATCATGTTTCTGGCATTTTCATCGCTATTAATGGAACAGAAATTTCATTAATTTTTTGACGTTTCTTCGAAGATGAATTTGGATTCACGGTAATCTGTAATGGAATTATTAATAGCAGTTTATTGTAAAATACATGTTTATGAATTTCTGAAAAACATTGCAAAAGAAAACATGCATTTTTCTTTGTTAAGAATGTAATATCTTGAGAAGAATATTTGTAGGTAACCCACGTAGATGTGTGCGCAATGTTTTTTCTAAACCTGTTATCATTTAAACATAGTCAGTTAATATAACGTTTGTATTTGATGATCTGCTGTGCTTCAGTATATTTCTGAGTGCTTTGACATAAAAAGCTATAAAATATTTCTACAGTCGAATCTGAAAACTTTGGAAGTTCAGCAATAATAGTATCTAAGATAAGATGTTTGTTTAACTCCCAGTAGAATATATCTGAAAGAAAAATTAATGGAGCTTTAGTATAATTTTTGTGACAGAATTTAAGAAACACTACCTACACACGAAAGTATGATTTTAAATAGGTATTAAAATTACTAGATCAGAAAAATACTGCATATACATCTAGAACCAGAGGAATAAGATTATCAAGCAAGTCTTTTAATATAAGATATTTAGCATTTTTGCATAAAAGTCTAAATTTTATTTCAACACTCATCAAAATTTCCTGCTAAGCACTGCGAGAAACCTCTAAAAGGAGATTAATATGTCATAGCTTAGATTTTACGCAAGAGGCCTCCGTTTTCTAAATGTATATTTGTACATAGCTAAAAAAAAAGTTAATATTGAAGGAATATTAATTCTCAACTATTCAACAAGATATACAAAGGACTTATAATAGGAAGAAATAATAAAATAGAATTAGTAATATTTAATTGATCATGATATAATATATAACGAGAAATGGTTGTTCTAAGATAAATTTGTTTAGACCAATCGGTGACAACAGGAATAATATATCCTTTTTAAATATACTGCTATAGAGACGGAACATCTACAATAGCATTAATAGCTTTAATGTATACATTCAAACCATAAAGATTATTCTCTTGTAAATCTATGAGGATAATATCTTTTATTGAATAGGTATTACGTTTCTCTTTCAGTCTAATGTCATAACTATATACAGTTAACTCTTCTAATCTAGTATTATCAATTGAACAAAATCTCTAATGTTGGTTATGTAAAAGACTGAAAAGCATCATGAATCTATTGTTCAGATTTAACTTTATTTACTCAACATTAATCAATCCAGAATTGTGTATATTTACATTCAAAATCGCACATTATGTAATGATCAGATTTATTAAAATAGTTACCAGATATGCTGCAGTAGAAGTAGTAGTTGTGTTCAGCATCCGCTTCATATAGATACTCTAAAATTAAAAATTCTTTATTAAAATACCTTATAATAAGCTAATCAAACTAAAACCCTTATGCTTATTTTTTTTTAAATTTAAAAATACAAATCATATTATTGCCAAGCTTGTAAAAAAATTAGTAAACCCTCAAACTAAAATAATTCACATTAAATAACTATGGTAATTGTCAATGTTTAAGATCATAGCATTCTCTGCATATTCTGCAAGAATAGAATCAACAGTTTTAGCATGATTATTAGAAATGGTAGTTTTATGCTGCATAATTGTTCAGGATATTATAGTTACGCTTAGATCAGCAAGAGTATCTATGGAGGCATTAAAAATACCAGTGAAATTTAAGTATATTGTCAAATCTATCTTTGCATTATTAATAAATTTATTACGAATTTCACAAAAAAAGTAGTATATAAATAGGAGCTGCTTTTTCATCTGTGTTCGCAATATTTCATTTTTTGAAGAAGGGTTAGATAAAATATATAACTCATCAAAAAAAACCTTTAATCTTGCATCTTTCCCTTTCACAATTGCACGAAAATCATCAAATGAATAGATTGTTTGTTTTTTCTCCTTATTTTCACGAATATATAAAATTTTAGTTATTATTCCTATTACCTTAAAAAAGGATAAGACAGAAGATAGAGGTAGCGGTGACAAAAGTGGAGGTAAAACTGGGGTGGAGGTAAAGGTAAAGGTGAAAATTCTATACTAGCTTGAGCATGTTGTTGAAATGCAAATGTACGATTTACCACAATTCTGTTATAACAGCCTAAGCAGATTGTATTACCTACTTATAAATAAATTAGCAAAGTATTGTTAGTTTGACCCTTTACAATAACATAATCAGTTACCTTTTTCCATTTTATTAACTTCTGGCTTCAGCATATTGTAATTACATATGGTCCAGTTTTCATATTATCTACTAAGTAAAATACCTTTAAAATTGGGATTATTTCGAGATTATTTTGTACAGTGAATATAAATACACCTTTGAAGCTAAGAGAAAAAATATTTTTATATTTTTATATGTAAAACATTATATTCTCAAAAAGTACTCTAAACTGTATAAATAATGTACTGATCAATTGATTAGGATCAATCAATTACATTAAAGTCCTCTCATGACCTTTGAAGTTAAGAGAAAAAAATTTTTTATTTTTATATGTGAAATATTATATTCTCAAAAAGTACTCTAAACTGTATAAATAATGTACTGATCAATTGATTAAGATCGACCAATCACGTGAAAGTCCTCCCATGAAGTCACATGTGACTTCATAATATAATTATAGGCATCCTTAACCTACACTGAAGGTGTAGATATTTAACCTGCGCTAAGGGTGTACAATAAGTTTTAACGAATTTTATTGGATGAAAATTGATTGTATAATATTATATAATTTATACTATCTTTGTAAATAAAATTAATATTATACAATAAACAATAAACTCTCGCTTACATTTTCATATGAAATCTGAAGAGATGTGTATTCCTGAACTAATAGCTTAAAATACATTTATAAATCATAATAATTTTATAGCACAAGTTCAAAATTTTGCAAATTTTTATAATTTTCAAATACGAAAAGATAAAGTAGAATGTGATAAAAATAATAATATTAAAAAAAGAACTATATTATGTTCACACGCAAATGTTGCTGAACAAAAAAAAGAAAAAAATCATCAAAGAGATCATCATTCTCAAAGATGTAATTGTCCTTTTATGATTAGAGCATCATTTAATTTACAAATTGGACTTTTGCATATTTTGGCTATAAATTTGGAACATAATTATGAAATAATGATTCCTGAATATAAATAATTTTTAAATAATCAAAGAATAATTTTACAAAAATTAAAGATCGAATTAAAATTTATCATCAAGTAGGTTGTAATGTATCAACTATCAAATCTATTCTTAAACAAGAATATCAAAAATTGAAAATATGGATTTATAATAATATTTATAACTATATATATCAATTAGATAATAAATTACATAGTCATTTTTTTGAAGCAGATGAATTTATTAATACTTTAAAGCAATTCAAAAGAGAAATTAATGGATTTGAATATGAAATCAAAGTTGATGAAAGTTCAAATGAATTATTTCAAGTAATTTGAATGTATTCAGAACAGAAATGACAATATTGTAGATTTTTAGATGTAATTATTTTTGATAATACATACAAAGTTAATCGATTTAATATGCCATTTGGAATTTTACAAGAGTAAACAATTTTGGTCAAAGTATATATTTTGCTAAAACTTTAATGTGTCAAGAAATAATTAATAATTTTATATGAACATTTAAATCATTTCTTAAAATGATTAATAATAATCCACTAAAAGTAATACTTACAGATAAAGATAAAGCAATTTCTCAAGCTATACAAAATGTTTTTGGTCAAAATAGTAAACATGTATTATATATATGGCATCTTTGAAAAAATGTAATCAAAAATTTATGTAGTATATTAGAAGCAAATTAGCATAATTTTACAAAAGCATTTTATGAATGTATAAAAGAATATGAAGTTGATAATTTTATAATCAAATGGCAACAACTTCAAATAGACTTTCCAGATTGTAAAGCACATTTAGAAAGAATGGATAAAGTAAAAGAAAAATGGGCGTCTTGTTTTAATAAAGATATATTTTTAGCAAATATAACAAGTACACAGCGTGGAAAATCAATAAATAGTCTTATGAAAAATTATATGAATGCAACCAATTCATTTTTAGATTTTTTAAAAGTTTTGAATCTACACTAGAACAACATGATATTGATTTACAATTATTTAAATATTGGCAAAATCAATTTAATGTTATTTTAAAAACAATGAGTCCATTTGAATATCAAGCAGCAGAAATATTAACAAGTTATACATTAAAGTTAACACAAGAGCAATTATTACAAGCATTTAATTATTCTTGTATAGAATTGTTTGATTTAAGGTATTTTAATTATAATGTATTTTT